GGCATAAAAAAAAATTCATGAGGGAAAAATGAGGCTGAGAATCCATCCAACAAACTACAATTGAGGTATTAGTTAAAATGGGTGACCTATTCCCTCAATGGAGTATTAGACTTGATTGTTCTCATTCCCATCACTTTCTTTTTTTCTTTTGCACTTGCAGAGCAAAATTTTCTTACCTGGTTTTCTTCAGGCCAGCTTTGTGACTCATGAGCTCTACTTGCAACAACATTGACTAAAACAAACACATAATATTATACGACATGTCCTCTGGAATAAAATGGAATGATAACTGAATAATAGATAGTGTATAGCTCTGTATGGCAGAATCTCAGGATCCATCATTAATAATGGCCTTTAGGACTGAAGAACAGAAATCAGAATCTTAATAGTTTTAGTTTTAAAAAAATACAAATTCTTCTGAAAGTAACATAGAAAGAGGAAGATATGAAAGGAAGTCAATGCATTAGCATTTGCAACCTGTAGGAAGCCACGGAATTATCTTACATGAATGTCACTCACAAGGATAAATCTGTTCTTGCAATCTTATATGGATGGTGATCCCAATGAAAAAAAAATTTATTGAGGTAAATTTGGTTTACATCGCTGCATTTGCTTTAGGGGTTACCAGCTCAAATCTCTTCCAAGTATATCTTTATACCATACCTACTACCAAAGTCCCCAAAATCCATTACCATGCTCCATTAGACCCCTCCCTCCCCCACATCCACCTCCCTCCCCCACTTCTACCTTCCCCTTCTGGTGGCCTTAGTTTTGTAGTTCCATGTCAAGGGTTAGTTATGGCTTTGGTTTTGACCATCCCTTTGTTTTGTTTCACTATATTCCACATATAGTGACACAGTAGGTAATGTGCCTTTGTCTTTCTGGCTTATGTCGCTTAGCATTATCCTCTCCAATTTCATCCATGTTGTTGTAAATGGCAAGATTTTGATGAAAATCTCTAACTTGTGCCTGTATATATGATAGCAATACAAGCATCCTCTGCTGGTTGTGGTTGGATCTAGAGACATAATTCGGATAATTAATCCCACAACAATGCAATGCATAAAGCACTACATTGGCCATGGAAATGCTTTCAATGAGCTGGAATTTCACCCAAAAGATTCAAATCTATCTCCTGTCAGTAGGTAAAGATCATACTTCACAATTATGGAATATCCAAAAGGACACTCTAGTGGCAATATTTGGAGGTGTTGAAGGGTACAGAGAAGAAGCAATAAGTGCTGATTATGATCTTTTGGGTGAAGAAATAATGTCCTGTGATGTGAATCATTCTCTTAAATTTTGGAGGATTAATTCAAAGGAATGATGGGTGCAATTAAGGAATCTTACTGTTATAACCCAAATAAAACTAGCAGACTATTTCTCTGAAAATTCCTTTTCCTGACTTTTTTTTTTTACCAGAGACATATATAGCAATTATGGACCTGATACTTTGCAAGTCTTGTGAATGTGCCATTATATGCTGGAAATCTGGCAAAATGGAAATATGAGGGAGTTCAATGTGACTATTCTTGGGTGATTTGATTAGAGTTCATGTGACAACTGGTACATGCGGTTTTCTGTGGATTTCTGGCAAAAGATGCTTCTATTGGCCAATCCAGTTGTCAAATTTATGTGTGGGATTTAGAAGTAGGAAGATCCTTATAAAACCAAATGTACAACACTGACTCATCATAAGTGTGGTGCTGCTATTTGACAAGCCAGTTTTAGCAGGGAAAGTAGCAGTCTTAGAGCTGTTTGTGATGATGCCAGTATTTGGACTTGAGACCAACTTGGATGAAATACTTTTCCCTAATTAAAATTAGTGTGTTTTCTGTGTACAGCAGAGTTAATGTATGTTGGTAGTAATGGCACATAGAACATTTAGAGTTGTCTTTCAGCCTTCAATCAGGCTAAGCTGACTGTAGTGATGTTTACATTGTTTACACTCTGTACTTTCTCCTGATCAGACTCTACTGCCTTTAATAAAAACTTATTTTTGTAAAACAAAAAAAGTTAAGATACAGTCTGTGTTCTCATTGTAGCTGGGAGAGGGGGTAGGGGGTGGGTGGAGAGAGTCAAGAGGCAATAAGGGAAACAGACATGAAATAATACAGACAGCATATTTTCAATGCAAGTTTTTTCTTTTTCTTTTACCAATTTATTAAAGTATACGAATCAACAGTCAGATGAAGAGAAACACAGGGCAAGTCCCTGAATAAAAAGCTTCCGTCCAATTGGAGCTTGGGGTCCCTCAAAGAAGTCAGTGGAAGGGCTCTGATTCTCTAACCTGGAAGTGCTTTCTCACCACAAGTTCTTAGTGATTAATGTGGGTTGAAGGTGATGGGAAGAGAAGACAATGATGATGATGAGTAAGTTGGTTCTAGCATAATTTTTCTCTTCTTGTCTATAAAGCGTCTAAACCTCCAGCCACAGCTAAACTCCTTTTAAAGAAAAAATTGAAATGAAGGCTGTGCAAGATTTGCTTTTAAACTGTACAAGTCTTTTTTTGGGGGGGGGTACAGTTAATACACTAATGTATCCTTAGATAGCCCTGTCCCAGTGCTATTTTCAAAAGCCACTAACTTTGCCTGGGTACAGTATGGCGGTTGTAAACTGGAATGGAAATTTAAAGCAGGTTCTTGTTGGTGTATAGCACAAATTAGTTATATATGGGGATGGTAGATTTTCATCTTCAGTTGTCTCTGATGCAGCTTATATGAAGTAATTGTTCTGTTAACTGAATACTACTCTAGTTGCAAAAAAAAAAAGTTGCAGCTATTTTGTTGACATTCTGAATGTTCTAGGTAAATACATTTTTTTTTTTTTTTGGTTATGAAAAAAGAGGCTTGGGCTGTATACTATGAGAGATATTAAGAGTTAAGCAAGTGAAGAGGCTAGGAGATACTGAAAGGTAAAATATTCTTTGAAGAAGGTAAAAAAATGATTTTTCTGAAACTATGTAGGGAAATAAAATAAGACCGTTAGGGTTGGCCCAGATCATAGAAACCATCCTGTTGGTAATGATGGAAGGAAAGAGTAAAATCTTAGGGATAATTTAGAAAGTCGAATATTCTGGATAAGTATGTTGGCATAGATTTTTAAATTTTACAATTGCCAGGACCCTTAGAGCAAAGTGAACAGATGTCTGTCTAATGAATCAGTTGATCCTGTATTCTACTTCCCTTTCTACAGATCTGATAGCTCAAGTCCAGAGAGATGACTTGATTTTCCTAATGTCACACAGCTCACGAGCAGCAGTCTGAGTTGAGAATTCTTGTCTTTAGATTGCCAAGAAGTACAATACTCATGAATTGAGGAAAAAAAAAAAAAAGTCCCCAAAGAAAGTTAGTGTAGCTGGGAGCAAGGTAAGGACTAGATTAATCAGCACTGACAGAGGGTAGGTTTCTGTATGAGGAGCTTCACAGACAACCAAAAACCTCTTAATTACTTCTCAGTCACTATTTAGAACTTAGCCCACTACCTATTACAAATGAGCAAGTTGCTTAGTGGTTGCTGTCCGTGAGAAAACAATTAGAGACAGAAAAAAAAATTACATTTCTAAGTCGCTGCGTATCTCACAAAACATATGGGGAAGAGCAACCGAAAAAAGAAACGTTCCCGATAACAAAGCGGCCTGCTAGAGTCCTCCCTCTGCCTTACTTTATTTACTGTTAGGGCCACAGTCCGTATCTGTTTCAAGCGAGTGTGATGCCCCGACCAACAACATATAAAAGAAATTCCAGTGAAGCCCCAGGGTGACCAAAAAGGGAACATTAATTTGGGATAAAGGTTGGAAAAAGATGATTAGACTAGTCTGCGCGAGCACCCTTGGTCACAAAGGCACACTCGGAAATCAACACATAGATGGGCGGGAGCGCCCCCCCACCCCGCTTTCAGCGACAACAGTGGGGACAAGGACCGAAAGACGCAGAGGGCAAAGGTGGCTGCCACGAGGGCAAAGATGATCACTTCGCTGCTAGCAAGCGGAACCAGCTATAACGTGACCACTCTCCCGCCAGAAGCGAGTCACCCCGCGGGCCCCCGCGGCGGGCGGCTCCCGCCTGGCGCGACCTCGGGCCAAGACTACCACTCCCGCCTCAGCGCGGGGCCTACGGGCCGGGCCGCCAGGGCGGTTTTGGGCACAAAGCATTATGGGACTTGTAGTCTTTCTTCTCTTCAGTTCCGGGGCGGGTGGCGAGAAGAGCCGACTTTTGCTAAGCCAGCCACCCTTCCCCGCCCGGCTTCCCTTCCCCTCCTTTCCCTTCCCCCATCTTTCTCCAAGAGTTTGAAAATTCCCGCGGAGCCGGCGCCCAAGCCTGGAACACTCGCGAGAACTCAGGTCCCCGCGCCGCGATCTCCTTCCCCTGTCCCCTCCCGCTCGGCCCACCCCGCCCCTCCCCTCGCGGGCGTGCGGAGCCCCGTGTGTGCCCCGGGGAATGCGCAGAGCTGGGCCGGCGCTGTCCGAACGCGGAGGCAGAGTCGCGAGGGGGTGGACCCGGAACCGCGGCGCGGCCCGCGGCGGCATTTTAGTGCTGCGCGGCCAGCCGGCTTGAAGCCGGCGAGGATCGTCTTGGCCGGGCGTGTGTGGCTCCGAGGTGGCCGGGGAGGTCGCGGCGGAGGCCGGCGAGGAGCAGAGCAGCCCCTGCCCGGGCGGAGTGTGCGCGCCCCGCGCGCGGCGGCCGCGTCTCCCGGGAGATGCTGTGACGGACCCGCGCGGGAGGAGCTCGCGCCGCGCCTCGCGCCCCACTGGCCTCGGCGGCCGCAGCGGCTCGGCCACCCGCCCTTCTCAGGTAGGGGGAAGGGAAGGGGGGTTGGGCCGCGCGACGAGGGCGGATCGGCGCGGCCTGGGCCGACGGCGGCGCCCCGGCTTCTCCCGCCGCGCCTGGCCCGCGGGGCCCTCCTCGCGCCGGGCCTAGGCCGGGCTGCTGCCCGCGCGCGAGCGGCGGCGTCGCTTCTCGAGGACCGGGCTCGAGGGGGCGGCCGCAACGGCCGCGGGTACCGGCCGCTCTGGAGCCCCGGCGGACGTTATATAACCTGCCCTCCGCGGCACGGAGGCACGTGGCGGACCTTTTCCGCCGTTACCGACGGGCCCCTGGAGCCCGTCTTCCCCTGGTGTGTGCGCCACATGCTCCTGGCCCAGGCCGGGGTGAGACCTGGGCGGGGAAGTAGTTGGACCCGTGGTTGGAAAGCGGGCAGTGAATTGGCCAGATCCTGGAGATTTAAATAGCTGCACGGCTTAGAGTGGGAATTAATTTGCCTGCCTTGTCCCACCTGGACCCTTGAGTATGCGTACTTTTGTTAGTGAAGGATGTTTTTGGGGGGGACTCAAGGGGTGTAGGTTAATTTGTACTCAGAGCCAGTCAGCGAGGTTCGTACTGCATGTGCATAGTTCCATGAGCGCTCTTTATTCTCTCAAATAGGTAGTTTGAGAAATGTGTTTTGAAGAATCTGGAATAAAACACAGGTCTCTCAAGAGCCAGATTTTTCAGAACCTTCTTTCGTGAGCTTTCACGGATAGGACCTGCGAGAGACAAGAAATCAGGGCAAGTTTATTTATTTGCGGGGGTTAGTCCAGGGACGGGAAGCCCAGTTCAAGTCAGTGCTTGGAGGATGCTGTGGAAGTCTCCAGTCTTCTCGGTACTGTAGTATTTGAATCTGATTTTTAGGTAACCTGTATCAAAAGTGTTTTCAGTTTGCAGAACATCAATAATAATTAAACGAAAAATTTGGAATTATTGCACAACCATTTGGGGATGAACTTACCTTGAGTTAAGAGGAAATAGGGCGTTTTTTTCTTTCTCTCCTGTTCTTGTAAATTTTCGGGGACTCACCTTTTTCTTCAGAATGAAGTTTTTAAGTTCCCTAGATTAGGTCGAAGCGCTCTACAGTAAGTCTGTTCTGTCTCCCCTCAACTATTCAGATATATGCTTCAGGACTTCTCAAAATCATCCCCAATCCTAGGCCCATTTTCTTGAAGATGTAGTTAATATTTCTTTGCTCCATGTCCTTCAGCCTGGAATGCCCGCTCTGCTTTTTTCAATTTCTCAAATTTCAAATCCTCCTCTGATGAATTGCCACCGTTTTCTATGTACCTGTTCGTTGCTCTTCATCTCCATGGCTTCCCTGGGATCTAACAGCATATGTATCTCAATTGTAGCATTTGTATATGATATTCTCCTCCTTGAGGTGAGGAGGTAGGTAATCTTTGTGCCAGTGCATTCTCTTCCCAACATGTTGTAAAAGTTGTTGCCAATTAATAAATGTTTGAAAGAATAACTGCTAAAAGATTGAAAGTTTCTGGGTTCACTGGTAGTTCACATTTGTCTCTCAGTTCTAAGTCTTTAGGAAATAGAAATGTGAAAAAACATACGAAGTGTTTTATAGCAATGTTTGCTCAGCATAAGGCGAAATATGATCAAGGAACAACTGGATTAGAATTTTATTTTCTGTGGTGGAATTCAGCTTTCTGGGATGTATGTATTCCACAGAGTGACTATGCTCTTCTGTGTTAATGTCTTTCCTAGTAATTTTACAAATTTTGTTTTGTTGTTTAATACAGATAAAGGCTATACAGTACTTAAAAACAAAGTTGGATTCAATATTGAGCTTTGTCTTTTAAACAGACTTTATTCTTTACAGTAGTTTTAGGTTCTCGCGGCAAAATTGAGTGGAAGGTTTCCCCACAAACCTATGCCCCGCTCACATTCATGCATAGCTTTACCCCAGTAGAGTTGTACACTTGCTTGAACCTACAGTGTTATATCATTATCACCCCAAATCCACAGTTTATGTTATGGTTCATTCATGCTTAGTGTTGTCGTTATACAATTGTTCAAACTCATAGAATGCACATGAATCCACCAGTTTAGTATGAATAATTGAGGGTAGTTTCACTCCCTTAACAATCCTCTACTCCACCTATTCATCCCTCTCCCTAGCTCCTGGCCACCACTGACCTTTTCCCTGACTCTACAGTTTTGCATTTTCCAGAATATCTCATGATTGGAATTACACAGTATAGTCTTTTCACATATGCTTTTTTTACTTAGTAAAACACATTTAAGATTCCTTCATGTCTTTTCATGGCTCATTTCTTTTTAGTGTTGAGTAATATTCCATTGTGGTGGGTACCGGTTTTTATGTCCTTTTACCCACTGAAGGGTATCTTTGGTTTTCAGACTTTAACAATAATGAATAAACATGCATGTGTAGTTTTATGTGTGGACATAAGTTTTCAACTCCTTTGGAGTATGATAGATTGCTGGATTGGATGGTAAGAGTATGTTTAGTTTTGTAAAAAACTGCCAAGCCCGACCATTTTGCATTCCCTTCAGCAGTGAATGAGAGCTGTTTCTCCCCATACTCACTAACGTTTGGTGGTGTCAAAGTGTTTTGGATTTTAGCCATTCTAATAGGTATGTTTTAATTTGCATTATCTTAATGAGGTGATGTGAACTAGTCTATCTTCTTTTTTTTTTTTTTTTATAGAGGCATGTTTATTTATTTATTTATTTGTTTGTTTTGTTTATACATGGGCACTGGGTACAGTCAGAAGCATGGGAGGGTGAGAGAATTCACCAGAGCCAGAGCAGGGAGCAGAGCAGGCAGAAGGACCGAAGTACACTGCTGAGGGGAGCAGCGGGCGGCAGCAGAGGTCTGCGCACCATGTGGGACCCTCCTCTGGTGGCCGGGGAGCAGCCGGGGATCGAACCGGCGCTGCAGAGGCTGCAGGCAGCTTCGCAACCCAGCGCTCAACCGGTGCGCCACCAGGGAGGCCCGTAGTCTATCTTCTTTATCAAAGTGTCTGTTAAAGTCTTTGGTCATTCTTACTTGGATTTGTTTTCTTGTTGAGTTTTAATACTATTGAGTATTTAAAAGTTGATTTCACGGTTTAGCCTTCTGTTCCCGTTACTGCTAGTATCCTGACATCCTAACTTACCACACAATTCGGATCATTAATTACAAAACATTGTGGTCCTTTGGAATTCCCAGGAAAATAGTAATAGCCAATAATTTTTGCCTTTCAGGTATTCATCTATAGTGGGGGAAAAGTCAAACACAGGCATTGAGTTATAAAAATATTATTTAGGTGGAAAGGAGCGAGCTGAGAGACAGATGAGATTAAATTGGGAAGGATGAAGGATACTCAGGCCACCCTGAGACTCCAGTCCTTGATGATGGATGGGACTTTGTCAAATGGAGAAAATGGGGATGGAATGGGGAACAGCATTAATAAAAGAATGAAAGTGCTAGACAATAGCAGACTGATGAAGGCAAGGGTTTTGGGAGATTAGACTGTAAATAGTCTAGGACTGCCAGATTTAGGAGGACCTTGATCCTCCTGTGTCTGAGGTGTGACTTTGTATGTGGTCTAGAGTCACTGAAGATTTTTGAGAAGGGTGTGACATAATTCATCTATGATTTATCAAGAAAATGAAGTGTTTTCATTGACAGTGGGCATAATGTTCCTGCTCTGTCTCTTTGACATTGGGAAAGAGTTGAGACTTTGCAAATCACCTTTTTTAGAGTTTGCATTAGTTACAACTACTAGGACTACTTAATTTTGTACCACATTGAACAATGTACTTTAAATGTTAAAATTCACAATGTATATATATATTTGGGATTTCAAAGGTCTCTAACCCAGTTTTTTCCCTGTAGATTCAAAGGCTAATTTTTAAATTTGAAAAACATCTTCCTTCATGCATTGAACATTTTTTGAACTGCTTTGTGCAAGGCACATGATAGGTGAAGAGTGAGAAAGACAAGTCTTCTCATTTTCTAGAAACTTGGGTGTGATAGGAGACAAAAGAACAGCATTACATGTAGTAGTAAGTAGTAGAACCTGGATTTAAGACTCTGTCTAAATTCAAACTTTTGTGCCTTTTCCAATAATCTGGATGGAACCAGATTTTTGTTCAATTTGGTATTTCTCAGACACCAAGAACTTTGAGGAATTCTTTACCCCTTTGAGAACTTCTTTTGAAATACAGGCAGCGGGATAGTATGAAAGTTTGAGAATTTGCTCTAATCCAATGGAACTAAAGGGATAAATTTCTTTGGACATGTAGAAGCCAAGTATAATTAACTGGCAGGCCATGAAGTTCTAATCCTAAAAAATAAAATGTGGTGGTAGATTGAGATAGAGAAACACCTAGGAGGACACTAATGTACTTGAGGGTTGAGAGGAAGTTATGTATTAATTGTTTTGTTTTTGTGCATCTAGCATTTTCACATGCAGTGAGCTTTTAGTATTGGTTGAATGAATTAAGAAATCGGTTCAATTGCTAAATCTTTCACCCATTGAATGTGGAAGGTAAGGAGCACTAAGGAAGTCAGGTAGCTTCAAGAATATAAAGTTATTTACTCTTTACATTTAATTTCTGAATTTCCAAGGATGCACTAACATTGTCACAATGTTGACATTGTTCAGAAACTGTCTGGACCACATACCAGCTCTGTGGACAGTCTTTTAACAGTTGAAAACATAAAAACATGGTTTAGCCCAAGAACCTGTATCTAGATACAGGTTCTGTTTCTGGTGTATCAATGCAATAAATAATGTTGAATTTATTTTGGCATAAAGAATGTTAGTGATGGGCCTCCCAGGTGGCGCAGCAGTTGAGCGCTGGGTTGCGAAGCTGCCTGCAGCCTCTGCAGCGCCGGTTCGATCCCCAGCTGCCCCCACCGGAGGAGGATCCCACATGGCGCGCAGACCTCTGCTGCCGCCCGCTGCTCCCCTCAGCAGTGTGCTTCGGTCTTTCTGCCTGCTCTGCTCCCCGCTCTGGCTCTGGTGGATTCTCTCACCCTCCCGCGCTTCTGACTATAACCAATGCTTGTATAAAATAAATAAATGATAAATCTTTAAAAAAAAAAAGAATGTTAGCGATAATCCACCCTCTGGTAAATTCGCTTACAATTGTTTTACAAACCATCTGACTTTTTATTTTAGGTTAATAGTGGATTTATATAAACACTATATAAATAGTGTTTTTAAGATTTCCCTTCCACTTTTTAGTTTCTCTTTAACAGTTTAAAAGTTCTCATATTTTGGATTTAGCAAACAATTCAAATGATTATCTCTCACCCTCTGAGATTATGATTCTTCTCCCTTAAGTTTTTTCCTTTCTAAATCATTAATTTTTC